GGATTTCTTTGATAAAAAACATTTAGTTTTCATTTAACCAGTGCAAAGGTAACAGCATAATTCCCTTAAGGAGTGTTCAGAAATAGTGGCCTATATACAGAGAAGGAAAACCCTTAAAGAGGAGTATGCTGTCAGGGAGAGTGATACTGATGCCCAGGAGAGCTGTATATAATTAGCTGTCATCATTTACATGGTTAGTTTCTTCACCACATACAAAATATACATAATTACAGTTCACTTACAAAGGATTCATTTGCTGTTTTCCATGTCTTATGAATTTTTATGGCACATAAGTCAGTTAACATTAAGTTAAACTCTAGGCCAAAATTTCTAGAAAACTTCCAAGCAACAATCTGTTGTAGATTGCAAGAGAATCAGTTGTGGCTGCTTGGTACTACAGTTGCTAATCCTGCTAAAGCACAGTGTTTAGTTATTTATAACTACATCAAATATTGAGATTGTTGCTCATTTGACTTAGTTAAAAACAGCTAAAATTTCTGATACATGTTAAAAGCTCAGAAAAGGTTTCATAAAACCTTAGTCAATATAATTCAGCTATTTAAATTCATATTAATAGGGAAAATATCTTTTATGTACTGGAAATTATTCAAAATCCTGCCACTGAGAAACTGTACCAAACTGGAATTTTTAAGGCCAGTCTTCTTGTCAGAAATGGGAATGCACCCAGCTTTAAGAGAGATATGAACTTCAGCAAAATTTTGGTTCTTCTGTAATCTGTAGAGAATCTAGCAGGCAAATTGAGGACCCGAGCACAATAAAAACATTTTCAGGAATTAGATATAGGAAAAAAAACAGTAATAAAACATTCCCAGGTATTACAACAGACTCAAATATTTCTGAGTCTGCCTATGCCTTTGCTGCTAACAAATCAATGTGATGTTCACTGGCCGTTTAGAATTTCCATCTCCCCTCTTTTAATGGATTTGGGGTTGTTAACAACTTTCTTTGAGTATGAGGCAGTTTGATTTTTTAAAAATAAATCAGAAAATGAAGGAGCTGAACTAATTTCTATCTGTAACCTCTGTGAGGAAGGGGAAGTACAATATTTTTATAAATATTATTAATCAAGATCATTGACTGTAGGGAGAAAACAACTAATTGGCCTATGTATATCTACACTAATGAACATGATTTCTAAACAAAATTCTGTAGAATATGACTGACTCTAGAGTGATTGACTAGAAATCAAAACCTTGTTGTTAGCATGGCATAAAGTGCTGGCTTAGTAGAAGTGTTCCCTGTTGGCTCAAATTCATTTTAACAGCACTTTAGAGGGATAATATTGTCTTATCAAAAATTGTATTGACTGTATGTAGTCTATTATTTCCCTACCAGCACAAGAATAACTGTGCTTTATGAGTAATAGCAATAGTGTTCTTTGTTCCTGTGTTTTTCAAATTCTTGAGCTACAAGAATCTCTCTTTCCTAAAAACTTAGGTTATAGGGGAAGTTGATCTTAAGTGAAGGTTGAGGCCTCACTTCCTCTGAAGAGAGAAAAGGGTGAAATCTGGGAAAAGGATACAAGAAAATAGAAGTAGGAGCACATTTTTACAATGTCTAGAGTAAACATAATGTGAATTTATTAAATTTATATATATGCATATATTTGTGCACAAAGTACTTTCTGCAGCTTGATCTGAAGTCCATTAAAAATGACAGCTTAGAAACAGCAGTCAAGAAGCAAGGAACAACGAATGCAATGGATCTTTCTGAAAAAAAATGTCTCCCAGTAATTTCCAGACAAAGGAAGAGGAAATAGTGAAAAACACACCAACCATCTCTGGAAATAATGTTTAGGCTCAGCTTATAATGGGTAAATGCCTCCAGGAAATGATTGAAGATTCTAACATGTGTATGATGCAAAGGAAATGGTCTAGAATATGCAATTGGAGCTTCTTTTAAAGGAATTAACAGATATAAAACTCTCTGTGTACTCATGCAGAAGAATAAGACTGCAGACTGCTTGTTTGCCCCAGAATTTGACACTGGCCGGAAGGCAATATTCAAATTCCACCCACTGTCATTTCTGTGCTCAATGTCCTTCAAATTTCTCAAATCTCTTTCAGCTTTGCCCTGCACAGTGACGGTCAGTGCCATTTCTGTAGATGTTTGTATGTGAACTACAATATTACTGTTATTAGGAAGTAAGTATCACTAATTAATATAGAGGAATGATTTTTTAAATTCTGTTTTTTAAATTTTAAATTCTGTTTGTATCTCCTTTGGACTGGCATTTGGAGAGCAACTGAGAAACATTGTTTTAACTAAGCTGGCTTTCTGCACCTTGGTTTGCTAAAGCACCCTTGGTTTGCTAAGCACCCTTGGCACATCTAGAGGCAGGTCTCTGCCTTGGGAAAGACAGGAAAATAGAGGAACTGGAACTGTGAGTTAATTATTTTTAAATCACAATAAATTATTGGATTTTTTTCTGAGACTAGTAAGATGTTTGGAAGGTTTGACCACACTTTGCTACTACATTTCCCTGTATAGCCAAACACTGAAGATTTAGCAGAGCTCCAGCTTCTTCAAGCAAATGTTGTGAGAAACTAACATCTGCTCAAAAAACGTGACTCACATGGCACTTCAATAATGCATTGAAATTGCTGAGGGACATGGTTGGGAAGACTTGCATGTACCACACCTTCCCACACACCGCGTGCAAGGCTGCATTCAAAAATTTGCAAAGTCTAAGCAGATGCTGTTACCATGACAAATGACTTTTTAATCAGTCATAATTTTGCACTAAGTGCTGTATAAGTGCCCTTTGTTTCACTACTTAAACTGTCAATGGCTAACAATGGAAGTCACAGACTAGTGCCTGTCATTAAAAGCAGTGGAAAAAAAATCAATACAATTTTTAATTAAAGCTGCCCAATGACTTGAGCTTTTAAGAAAGGAATTCTCCTTATCAGTACATCTTGCCTTCAAGCCCTTTCTGGCACTTCAGAAGTTAACACACAGGAAAATTGTTATATTTCCAACATGCTCCTGGAAACAAGGAGAGAAGGGAGCATGAGAGGAATTCAGGGAAAATATTTTCTATTTGATTGGTATTGGTAGGGTAGGGATAAAGTACGTGGTGCCTGTGGAAACCCTAAAGCATGCTTTTTATTAGACCTTTGAAAATATGGAATAATATATAAAGAGATACCCCTGACAGTAAAAGTTGCAGTATAGATTTTTCTGTATAGACTTGTAAAAAAGCAGCTTGAAAAAGCTTCCTATTGCTGTCATCATTATTGGAGTATTTGTGTTATTGACTGCCTCAAGCAACTTGTCTTTGTTTAGTCTTTTCCTACCCCTGAGTGCTCAGGGTTTTATCTTGTTGTATTTTTTCTAATACCTTCTGTTTCTCTGTCATCTGCAAATGTGTTTCTGAAGAAGCAGATGTATTTTTCACTCATGGTAATACAATCTTTACTGGTGTACCTTTAATGGCAATAACAGACAACTGTAGAACTGAACTCCTAATTTCTCAAAAGAAGAGGAATTTGACAGGAATAAATATAAATTCTGGGACAAACAGATGATCTTTTTGGGTACTTGCTGTATGTATAAAACTTTTAAATGAGCATACTTATTTTGAAATTAGGGAAAATTTTTGACTGGGTAAAATTGTATTGAAAGGCATAGAATATGAGGCAAGAGGACACTTGAGTACTATAGTACATGTTCATTTATGCTACTAAATTACCAGCAATTTTGTAGCATATGTGAACTTGGCATGACCTATGAAAACTTGTACTCCTTTTGCATTCTAGAGAAAGATATAGTCTCAGTAAATAGAAATTATAAAGAGTATGACCACTTTATTTATGTAAACAGCACTTTTAGGTTTTTATAGATTGTGATTCTTTTTTTGCTTGTTCCAACTGAAGATTGTTGGATTATGAACCACAAAATAGAGTATTAAAAATTATTTATTTCTAGGACAAATGGCTAGATGTTTTGGAATTTGACATTTGATTAAATATTGAAGCAATAATAAGAATAGAATTCAGGACTTCTGTAACATTTTCACCAAGTGTATGGCAGTATGAGTAAGCCAATCCTGTGAGCATTATGCAGTTGATAGTGATTTTACTTCCTTAGAGGATGTTTTCATAAGCAATACCTAGTTTGTAGCATAAGCTGTATTTCCACTTTATATTTCTGATTTAATCACCTGTGTTCTTTTCCCCTTTTATTTATCTTTCTGTGATATGTAGGCAGTAGAATTTTTGTCATAGGAGTAGCATTTAGCATTCAGAACTTTTTCTTGCTTAAATTATAGAACTTCCATGAGGAGTAATGAAGAAGAAAATGGCAGTGGAAGAAAAAAAAGCACCAACTGTGCATAAGATATATGCATAATGCTAGCAAATGAAAAAGAATAGAAGTAATACTTTAGGATCTGACAGTGCATCAAACATTCCTGGATACAGCCGGCATGGCCTACCTGCCCTGTCTGAGCTCCAGGGACTTCTTACTCTGCTTTCATCCAAGTCAGTCTTTCAAACTTGCTCTCTGATCAAGATTTAGATGTCTAGACTTCTTTAAAGGGAAGCTAGAGATGTAGAGTAGAAGTTGCTGAACATCATCTTCCCTGTTCTCTGCTGACAAAAGCAGCAATCCGCAGTGACTGGTTCCTCAGTGCAACTAAGGAGCATGTTAAACTTTTAGTGTTAATGTTTTACTGAGGACATTGTCATTTCTTGTATCAAGAGGTCTTATTCAGCCCACTTTCCACAACTGCCAGGCAAGGTGTGATATGAGATGAAATGGGAGTCTGGACCTCACTCTCAGGACTGAAGGAACTATGTCAGACCTTGGTTGTGTGGACTGAAGTAACTGAGGGCAGCCAGTTAAGCTGCTTCTGTGGTCACTGTGTCCCCTCAGAACTGGTAAAGGAAGACTGCTCCTGGAGGGTGTTGAACTGGACTGGGCTGTTACTGTTTTATAAGGCAAGTGGCACACACTGCCTTGTGTTCCTTTCTCAGGTTATCCCTGCTGAAGCAGAGAACTCAACTGAGCTGGTGCTTCCAGGCTGAAAGGTTTCCAGGAAAAAAAGTGCCTATGGAAAAGAGAATGGTGACTGAAGCACTACAGCTCTGAAGGTAGGACCTGTCTGTCACTTAGAGTATCATCTCCCCCATGGTTCTTTGGGTGTCCACTTGCTTACACTTGAACAAGTTTCTTAGTTTCCATCATGTCTCTGTGCAGTGGAATCCAGACTGGCCTTGCAAACACCAAAAGATCAATAGGCAAAGTTCAAAGAAAAAAATTACTGCCCTTCCAAAATGTGTCTGGTATCTACTGTGGGTCTGTGTCCTCCAACGATGCACTCTTCCCATTCCTGTCTCAGACAATGAGCAGCAGCATTTCTGGGGAGTTTTTGCCTTTTGATCTCCTCTCTGATCTAATGCAATTGTCCACTGGCAGAAGCGCTGTGAGGTGCAGAATAAAGTAATGAAGCTAATCTGATTTCCAACCCCCCAACCCCAGTATCTACATGCCCTTATTATATTAGATTCCTAATGAGATTCTCTGTCTGCACTCCAGAAACCAGGCTGGAAATGTATGTATATGTGGGGAGGGGGGGATATTGTGGAAGGTTGCCTCCATTTACATCCCATCTTTAATGGATAAAATCTGCCCGTCCTTGAGTTGTAAGCAATCTCCCTCCAAGATTTCTTGAGGGAGAAGCTTTTAAAATTGCCAAGAAAAAAAAATATATATTTAACACTACTGTGTGTTTGGTATGGCAACAAACATAAGCACAGGAGAAATGCAGGGAGGAATCTTCTTGGGAAGCTCTTGAGCACCTGAAGTGATAGTGAGTTGGAGGGATGCACCTGAGCCAAAATTGCCAGGAAGAACTGAATAAACTGTGGAAAGAACTCTGAACAAAGTAATTTTGTGTTGTTGAGCAGCAAACATAGTTACTTTCTTGTGAGTAGGGAGCTTGTACATTTTTAAAGGTCCCGTGAAATGTGGTCATGCGAGTCATGAAATCCATAGTTAATACTCCCTAAAAATACAGTTCTTATCGTTCTCAGCTGTACAGAACCATTTCCAAGCAGTTTTTAATAAAGAAGGTGGGAGCTGCTGGATATTGCAGAGCTGGTCAGTAGTGGGGCCATCCCAGGCTAAAATTGACACACCAGAACCATGTTTTTCCAGTTTGGTCATAAATAAGCCTTTCCTGCTCTACAGAATTCAATGCCTCTTAGAAAACAAAGATCTGTGACCACCATACGCTCTCTGAGTATTGCTCAGAGAGTACGGTGATCATAGAAGATTTTTACTTTCCTTAGAGGCCAAGTTGTAACTTCAATTATGTCACTGAAATGTACCTGCTGTAATGCAGTAACAGAATAACCATCACCTAACAGAGAAACACCTCTGGCCTCCCCTCAGTTCAGTGAAAAGCACTGTCAGTAAGGTCTGAATCCAGTTTCATGCTTGATGGGCCCAAACTTGGTCACTTGAAAACTGAGTTTGCCACTTTGTCCTTAGGCAGTGGCGGAAAAAAGGCAGAACTTTTTGTTAAAAAGGACCCTCATGACTGCTTGGTGTTTATGGATAAAATGCCTTTAGAAGCAGTTTAATAGCCTCATCTGGTTCCTTCATGGACAAAGGTCCATATCACAGAAGCACTATACATAATTCACCACAAGAGAGCCCCAGAACTAAGCAAGAAAGCTAAATTACCTGTCACTTCGAGAAGAAGTGTTCCCTTTGGGTCAAGGTTGAAATCATTGGTAAACCGATGTGAAGAAGATCACGTTGGTCTCCGCATGGACTCCTTCCCTGTGTCAGGACTGCAGAGAAACAAGGGAGTCAGAATGAACACCAGCTAAAATTTCCAGGTTATTCTCAATTCTTATTCACAAACCAGCAAGCCTGTCCCTGATCAAAGCTTGAGGGATGAAGCAGCATTGATTCTTTCTCCAAAGCAAAACAAGGTGTGTGGCAGAGCAGGTATTCTGCTCACAGGGCTGTCCTGTCAGAGGTGTGAGGCACCACGGCTGTGTCTGAATACAAAAAACACCTCATTATTACCGGGATGGGAAATGCTGCTAGTTACAGGGAGCAAGTATGACTTCAGGAGTACAGTTCATGAGAAGTAGATGCCATCTGGCTGTCATTAAGTGGCTGATTGTGGATTTCTGTGATTGACTGGTGGTTGATTGACAGGTGGTAGGGAGGAAAGGGATAGAGCGTGTCAGCCAGACCCTCCAGCCCTTTGTTTCAGTCCTCTAATTTTTGTGGTGTGTGTAGCTATCAGGGGGGCAATTTTTCTTTCAGTCCTACTCTCATTGCAGCCTCTGTCAAGTAGACCTAAAGTCTGTAGAGAAGAACAGGAGAGTATTCCACCAAACACTTAGACTCCTGCAAATCTTCACAGTTTAATTCTATGAAAAAGGTTTGATTTAAAGCAGATATTTGGTCCTATCTTCCCTTTCCCACATGCTCACATTTCCAAAGCCTGTAAGGAATAAATTTATGCTGTGTCACATTAAGTTTGTAACAACTTTCAACATTTTAACAGTTTAATAACATCTTTGCTATATGTTAATTTGCTAAACTGAAGCTTAACTGATAGGACACAGAAAAATATAGTCAATTTAAGCTTGCAGTGACCCATGACAAAATATTCGGGACTGAAGTATTTGTTTCCCCCAAAAATTAAAGTGATTTAGGACTATATTGCTCTGAGCAAGGTTTGATTGTTAAATATACACAGATTAACTGGTTTCTGGGAGTGTAAGCACATGGCAAAGGCTTTATTCACAGCTGGATCCTGAACAGTCTGTGTGCAGTCTCTACGAAGAAGGTGTGGCACAGGAGTGGATGGGAGCTGCTCTGCCTCTCCATAGCACTTACATGGACTATCACTGCAAAGCTCCAAATTGCTCAGATTATGGGATCTCTGCTAGAGACTAGCTTGCAGTCTAGGCAGTGCCATCCTGAGGCTGGAAAGCATCCCAGGGGAGGTGGTGGTTGCAGTAGGAGCTGCTCTGAGCTGGGAGGATGGAGCAGTCTCTGAGGAAGACTAAATGAGCAAGAAATGGGAATGCAGCTCAGGATAGCCAGTGATATCTAGCTGACTGTTCCTCAATTTTCAGAGATTAGCAATGTGTATTTTCCTCTGCAGGGGAACAAATTTTGCTCCAGTGAAGATTTTGGGAATGGGGCAGTCCATTCTTGTGAAGGGACTTGCCCATGCCCAAGTTAGGCCTGATCATGAAATAGAGATTTTTAGAGTTCACTTAAGTTAACAAAATGAATTAAAAACTTATATTTTAGCTTGTAGAGTTATGTGTTGAATTTTAACCTTTTACTTAAGAAACCTCTGCCATGGTAAAACGGGCATAGGAAAATGCAAATTTCTGAAGCTTCTTGCACAAAGAACAATGCCTAGGGATGCAAAGAGCCCAGATAAAGGGTCTCCAAACCTATCAGTACTGACAGACGTACTCATATAAGCATCAAAGGACTACAAGCACGCACACAAAGGAGAAAAGTTAAAAAGTTTAATCATGAGGAAGACCAAATTCTTCAGCCTCAGAGGACCCTGAGAGACCCCCACAGGACCACCACGGCAAACCACGGGTGCCCAGAAGGGCGTGGACCTATTTAGCATGAGAGGCAAGGACAGGCATGGAAAAACTGTGTAATGTATTGCATGTGGAACACCTTTGTGAATAAAGGTGTGGGTCAGACTGAGGCTTGGAGCACAAGTTTTCAGAGAGATATTTCACCTGTGCCAGGCACTGACAGTACATACCCACTTCATAACTACCCCAAGTTGTGGAGTCTATTTATTTATTCCACATATCTCTTCAATTAGGTCTGCTTAATTACAGTTTACACATTAGTCTGATGTGTTTCCCTGGGCAAAATCTTCTTTGCTTTCTGCATCAGCACTGTTGCTTCCAAATAAAGAATTAAAATAACTTGTAAAACCTCAACAAAGATATTGGACCAGAAAAGCTGTTTGATATTAATGTTGATATGTCACTGTTGGTATTAATGGGTATTTCTGCTTAAAACTTGGAGCTGCACTTTCTCATATTTATATACAGAGATTTTACTAAAACCCAGGTTTGTAATACAGCTGAAAGAGCTTTCAGATGAATCAATTTTTAAGCAAGTTTCTAAGTATGCTTAGTAATTTTGAGAGAAAGTGAACAAAAGAAATAACTTCCTCTGTTCTGATTATCTGGAGTAGAAAAGTAATTTAATATCACTTAAGCTGAAATAGATTTTCATCTAAAGCTCATTTCTTGTTGAAATTTGTGAAACAAAATAATAATTAAAAATACAGTGCTTTTCAGGTGCAAAAACATCTATAATCCAATGTATAATATCTTTATATATTTAGTAAGTAATTGACTACATACATGGGACATAACTGAATCCACACAAACAAGTTTTAATAGTTTCCATGGTAACTATATAATGTATAAGAATCATCTAAGTAGATAAGAAAATGAATTCATATTTAGAAGACTTGATTTCTCAATACCTATTACTTTACTAATACAACTAAATAGGATGAAATTCTTCATAGGAAAGAAAAACATAAGATCCTTATTAGATTAAACCTGAGTTAAAACATTACTGTTTTGTGGGATTTTTTTGTACTTGTTATGCTTGTGCACTGATAGAGCAGCTCTAGAATACAGTGCAATCTTTCCTACTGAAAAAAAAGCTTGCACTCCAGCATATACCAGCAAAGAGCTGGTATGTGTTTCTTACAAGAAGGAAAAAAAAAATTAGATAGGATTTTGCAAGTTCATGCACACAACTTGATATTTTATTCTGGGACATAGACAAGGCTACTGCTACTTTAAGGAAAGATGGGCTCCAAACGGTTTATGAAGTGATAGATCATATATAAATAGGTTGTTTGCTCTCAGTACAGATGCCATCATTACTAACTACTTTCAGGCTCTTTGAGAGCTAAATAATTTCGTAATGCATCATTGAACATTTAGTTGCTTCGATAGCAGATGGTTTCAGGGGTCCATCTGCTCACAGCAATGTTTTCAACAAGCCCCCTTCACCTTCACCAAAAGGTTCAGAAACATTAGAATATTCATTCCTC